GAAATTCGAGCCCTGTTAAAGAGGGCTTCAAGTTACAAAAGGATTTTTACATCTTTTGGTATATACAGATAATGCAGCATTAGTTGAATTTGCAAATACAGATCAAGTAATTCAATGGTTCGATCTGCTGCACAGAAGCTACCTTAGAAGACTGATATCCTCTTTTGAATCAATATGTTTTGTATATGTACCTAGATATTACAATCAAGCAGCCCACCTTTTTGCTTATATATCCCATAAGGGCCAACTTAACTTATACTATAGTAATAACCACTCGTGTATTGGCATCAATTCTGAATTGACACCTACCCCAACTGTATAGTAGAGTTAAGATTTGTTGGTGGAGAATTTTGATGAATACTAACCCATTGATTACCATTTTTATGATATCAATTGATTGGTTTTAAGATTTTTAGATATTTCATACCCTGGGAGGATAAAGAGGTGTTTATGTGGTGTGGATGAGAAATTGAGTTGCGTGTCCTCATCCACATTTTGGTGTGAGTCCACACCACACCACAACAAAGGAATTGTTTTGCACTACGGATGGAAATAGGTGACCTGCACCACACCACACCCCATTGGTGTTCTGCAAGGTATGGTGTGGTTTAGTCCACACTTTGTTTTCTATTCCATGCATCTCACATGCAACATGTGAGATAATCTACGTCGTTAATTAAGAACATAACTATTTTATGTTTTTAAACAATATAAATAATTTAAAAATACAATTTAATCATGACTAATATAAAATAATATTAATTATCTATTATATAAATAATTAATAAGAAATAGTGGAAGAATCTATAAAAATAATAATTATTACAAAAATTAAGAATCTCAGTTTTAATAAAAATTATGATATTAAGAAAATATTATTAAAATAAAAAAAGATGAATAATTATTAACAAATTATTGGATGGATTAATAAAAATTAGTAATTATTATAAAATATGTCTTATTTTTTAATAACTAATAAAAATTAAAGTAATAGAACACTATACAAATTTAATTAATTATAATTAAAAATGGTAATAAAACATATTCCATTATTAACTAGTTATTCATAAGTCTAATATTAATAATTTTTCTAAACATCTTAGCTTTGGTTCCTTGTCAATAATCCATGTTGAGTATGTGAACAACACATCTATAGAACCAAAATTATGATTTAAACATAAATATTAAAGCTTCTGAAGAAAAGACATATCAAGAGAGTGAGAGCAAAGGTTGGATTCCTCATTTAGTACCTTCCATCATGGTTTCATCATATTTGCTTGGTTTACCTATGCCATTTCTCTTAAGAAAAGACATATCAAAACTTTATTATTTTTCTCCTTGAGGAATGCCTTTGAAGTTTATTTATTTTTATGGTTAAGTCCTTTGGGAACTCGTACATACTCATTGGGTATTGAGCCAAGTTTTCCAACAACTACTTTTAGGCCATGTTTGGAAGTGTTTATGTTAAAAATAAGTGCTTATTTAAATAAGCACTCATTTGCATTAGGCACCCAACTTTTTCAAGTGCTTATTTAAAAAAAAATACTTATTTCATATTGGGTGTTTGGTGGTCTTTTTATTCTAATAAGCACTTAAACAAGCAATTGTGACTCTTTTGTCCTTCATTTTATTTCAAAATTTTAAAATATCCAATCCAAAGTGAATGAATAAAAAGTACTTTGATAGAAGTGATTTTATAAAAGTACTTCTATAAAAATACTTTTATAAAAGTGCTTTTATAAAAGTACTTCTGTAAAAGTGCTTTTGTAAAAGTACTTTTTACAAAAGTACTTTTGTAAAAGTATTCTCGTAAAAATACTTTTATAAAAGTGTTTTCGTAAAAGTACTTTCATAAAAGTGCTTTTATAAAAGTACTTTCATAAAAATGCTTTCATAAAATTACTTTTATAAAAGTGCCTTTGTAAAATTGCTTTTATAAAAGGATATAATTGATATTTCAAAAATTTACCAGGGACAATTTCAAGAGAAGATATTTGAATATGTGCTTATTGTATGAGCACTTAAAAAAGCTAGAAATTTAGGCTTAAAAAATAAGCCCTTATTTTTAAAATAAGCACTTATTTAGGACTTATTTCCCAAACACTAATAAATTCTTAATGGTGTGGTCCCCGCCTAAATAAACACTTATTTTTAAGCACTGCCAAACATGGCCTTAGTGGTGCAATTCTACTTGCGATGGATAGACATTTGCCTCTCAAGCCTTCCATTTTTGTTTTAACTTTTTCCCACACTTCTTTTATGTTTTATTTTTATTTCGTGATAACTTGTTGCCTAATTAGTGGAGTCCTTAATTGTTGATTTTGTTATAACTTGTTTCCTATTACTTGAGGTAACAACCTTTGAAGTCTATTCGGGGAGTTTTTTGAGAAAAAACATTGCTGATTTCTAGAAACTAGTTTTGATCTGATGCTTTTGCCTAGTTGTTAAGGACCTATTTAACTATGTGACTTGCTTTCGAATTTTCTTTTAACGTCATTACGAAACAATAGAATAGAAAATTTTGGTCCATTTCTAAGGTTTTGATTCCTAAATTTGCATTTAGGCTAGAAGATAAAAGGCTCTACTTATCATGCTAAGGGCTCACAGCATAAGACAGAGGTATGGTGAGAGTGGGTCTCTTTGTCTAATACCCTTGCTATGTTTAAACAAGGTTGTAGGGGATTCATTGATAAGCACTTGGTATCTCACAATGGATGCACATTGCATTATCTAATTTATCCATTTTTCATGAAAACCGATTGTTTTAAAATAACTTACAAGTAATTCCATTCCAATTTATCTTGGGTTTTTTCCATATCTATTTTGCAGACAACAAGAGTCGATTTTCCTTTCTCTTTGAAGAGTGAAATATTTCATGAGTAATGTGAACATTGTCAAGGATTTGTTTGTCCATAACAAAGGCAAATTCATGGGGATTAATTTCACAAATCCCAATAAGTGGTTATACATATTGTAAAATAAGAATGAGTTTTTAACCTTTATTTTAGGGGTTAGAGCAATTTTTTTTTTTTTAATTGCAAGTGGTCACTTGTATTACTGTTTGGCATTTATGGGGGGACATGAGTTGAACTTTTCACAAGCTATTTAAGCTAAACTCATAAAAATATCAATTTGCCTTGGTTTGAATTGAGCTTTAAGTTAAGCTCAAGCCCAATATATAGGCTTATTTGCTAATTGATTTGAGCTCGAACCTAGTGAAACTTAGCTTGTGAGGGTTGTGAGCCTTATCAAGCTTATATTATATAATATTTTTTGTTTATATATAAATATGATAATAAATAATTTTTAATTATTATTTTTTATATGTGCAAATTTTTACATGCACAATTTTTTATTTTTTATAGAAAAGCATGGCTCATATTCGAATTTGAGCCTTGTTGATAGGGGTGATCATGGGCTGGGCTTTGCACTTACGATAAGGGCTATAGCTTAGGCCCGGGCCTGGCCTGGCTTGGGGTTCCGGGCTTGAATCATAAGCCCTAGACCAGGTCTATACGGGCCCAGGCCGGGCTGGGCCAGGCCTGATTCCGGGTCAATGCCACTCATGTAAAACACTATATATCTATATATTAAATGACATAACATGCATATAAACTTATTTTATACATTATATTATATAAATTATACATGTCATGTTATAATATTTTTATATAAAATATATAATATAATGTAAAATAACATGTATACATATGTATACATTATACACAAAATGTGCAAGTTTAAGTATATGCGGGCCGAGCCAGGTTGAAATGATCGCCCCTACTTGCTGAGCTCAAACATATAAGGTTTTGACTTGAGATAAATTTGAGTTCAAATCTCTATCTCTCATTCTTTTTTTGGCGAGTTGAGTTTGAATAGCTAAATATTCAACTTGGCTTAGCTTGAATCCACCTCTATTGACATGTAATGTCATGGCCTCAGTCGACATTTGGTCTAAAATGACAATGGTACCAAACACAACTAGAAGGGCGAATTCTACCTCCAAATGGAGTTAAAAGTAGTGTACAATATTTTTAAGATAAGAATGCCCCTTATTTTTTTGAATCCCCCTATTAACCTCTTCGTAAAATATGAAATTCTACTATTTCTCAATACACATATTACCACTTCTCGCACCTTATTTTTTAGTGTAAAAAATTCCATATTTTAACACTTCAACAATTATTTAAAGTTATTCATTATTATATGATTACTTGTTTTAAGATATTACTATTTTTTTAAACTAATTGTTTCAAATTATTAATTTTAATTTATTATCAATTTTAGAATAGTTTAAATATTAAAATAGTTGTTAATATTTTTTGCAAATTGTTAATATTAATTATTTCATTATTTAAACTTATTTTCTTTTCTTTATGTATTTTTATTAAATTTAAATAACTTTTTTCACAAGAACAATACTTTTGAAATGCATTTTGTTAATGTTTTACAATGGTTAAACATGCATTTGTTAATTGGGTTTAATTAAATATTTAAGTAAAACAAATAATTTATCATTAAATTTAGTATTTCCAATGATTAATTAATAATTATGTGGAAAAAAGAAATATATAATATTCAACGTTAACAAATGTACAAAAACCAAACGGATTCATTCATATGAGCAAAACTACAAAATAACCATTTTCAAGTTTTGCTTTCCAAAGATCAGGGTTTGGATTTATGAAAACACCACCTTATTCCCTGTATTTGGTTTGACAGAAAATAAGAGGGACATAGAATGTTGGGAAATTCTACCAGCGGTTCTCTCTCTGCGGCTCTGCCTATTATTGTACCAAAGATAAGTGTTCAAAATTTCAAATAGCTCTATTTAGCTGGGCTTGGGCCAGCCTAGGTGTACGTATCAACCCATAGGAAGCCCGGACTTGGGTTTGACCTGATTTCAGGAACAGGCCCACCAAAAAGAGAAAGTTCAAGCCCAACCCGTGTCAAAAGTTGGATTAGATTGGCCAAGATTGGGTTGGGCCCGATCAAGTTGAACAACTGATTGCAGGCTTGGAGGCCGGAGCATGTCTTCGTCTATTCGCGTTTCAAAAGCTAGGTTGCAAAGTGCTGTTTTGCGCCTCCCCAAATGGCGGCAATGGCCTTGCGATTGAGATCGAGCTGCAGTAGAACGATACGAAACCCTAGTTTCGTTCAGTTCTTCTCTTCTTCATCTCCAGACTCCGATGACGGAGATGACAAGAAGGACATCCAGTCTTCCCCTTCAACTCCTTATTTCAGTGACATTAAGGCGAGCCTTAAGCAAGCTTCGCCTCCTCGGAGGTTTCCTCAGTCTCCACCAAAAGATATTCCTCCATTGGCCACTGCCAAACCCTCAAAAATCGCTTCTCTGGAAGAAATTCGCAAAAATCTTTCTGAGTTTCGTCGCAGATCTTCCCCCCCTCCGCCTGACGAGAAGCCATCATCGTCTTCGTCTTCAGAAACTGTTTCGTTTCAAGAACTATATAAAAGGAATGTGGTCGAAAAGAGCGAGGGAGAAAATGCCGGGGCCAGAAGCGCCAAGGGCGGGAAGCTCTCTTTCGAGGCGATACGCGAGAGCTTGCGGCAGCTGCGATCCTCTACTGGGAATCAGAATATGAACGACCGGTACAGAGGACAGGCTGATAGAGGAAGCAAGGTCTTGGATCCTATGTCTCTCGAAGCATTCAAAAACAGTCTAAAGCTGCAGCCTCAAGAACCTTCTTCGACTCCCTCTGTTTTTGGAGGTTCCGAAACGCTCCCCGTTTCTGTCTTTGGGAAGGAAATGAGGGAAAAGGACAAGGAACCTCAGGAGATGAAGACTGAGTTTTTGAAGATGTATAGTTATGGCGAGTTGGGAGAGAAGCTTCGAATGCTCCGCCCTGCTAACAATAAGAAGGATAAGAACTGGTTCTCTCTTAGGGAGCTGAATGAAAGGCTTATGAAGCTGAGGGAATTCGAGGAGAAAGAGGCAGATTCAAGGATTGGTGGAGTATCATTTAAGGACCTTAGGGACAGCTTAGTGAGGTTGCGGATGTCGGATGATGACAAAGCGAAGAAATCATCAAGTAAGCCTTTTCTATGGTCAAATCAGAAACTGTTATATCATGAGATTGCTACAGCTGTTTGGAAGTTGTTTGATTTAATAGGAACAATTTTACGCTATTCTCCTCTTTTTCTTCGGTGTCAATTGTGTTGGACTGCTAAACCCACATAAATTCCCTGTGCATCTTTTCTAATTTTGCAGCCATGCTTCGAGAATAAAATGATAGATAGTAGGAGGGAAGATGTGTTAGTGCACTTTTAATCAAAGTTAACTTACCTCCTTTTGAAAGATAACTCGCTTTCCACCAGAGAGCCTTTTTTTTTCGAAACCTTTCACTATGGGCTCCCAAATAGAGCTTGATGTGCACCTTGCCCCCAAAGTAAACCCAAATATTTAGTGGGTAAGTTCTTCAGTACACACCCCCATTCTGCTGCATATTCTTTCACGTCTTCCACAAGGCTGGGGGTAATGGAGCTTTATTTATTTTTTTTTTTTTTCAAATTAATTTTCTGTTCCAATCCTATTTTGAAACACCTGAGAGTTGCTTGAGGTTATTGAGCTGCAACCAATTCCTTAATAGTGTTAATATTAGCTTCTTTAAACTCTTGACATATAAATGCTGTATTAGATATGGAAACTTTGGTTCTATTTGATGCCTTTTTTCCCTTGAGCAAATTATCGTGTTCCTTTCTTTTCCCCATATGCATAAATGCTTCAGTACTATCATTTCCAAAGAATTTACAGAAATAGTTCCATTTTTCCAAAACATTCCATCCATATCTTCGAAAATGCATATTCAAATTCCATCATGCCAAAGACCTGGTGGCCTTGGCAGTGCTACACGAGTTAATGGGTTACTTGTTATTGCCGAGATGCCATTGGCAGTGCTACTCGAGTATGAAAGTAAAAACCTCTATGTCACTGGTCAATTTTTAAATAGATGTGTTGTTCAATCTTCTATTTGTAAAATGGATAGCTACAACTTGAGTATCATATATTATCAATGTTATTATGTGAATTGATCCTTTTACACTTGGGATCAATATGTTGAGGCAAATTCTCTTTTGTTTTTTTTTTGGGTCATAACAAGAAATTTCATTAATTTAGATTGAAACAGTACAAATTAGGGTATAAGCTTATTTACAGTTATCCCTTACATTTCTAACAGATTCAAATTACAGTTCTGCATTCCCTAACAACCCCTTTCTTGGCCAATGAATAAGCCATCCTATTTGTAGTTCTCTTGACCCAACTAAAAGTTTTTTTTTTTTGATGAATAATAATGAAATTTTATTAAAACAGAAACAGATTCAGGATTACAATCTCATACAAGAACCCTTAGAGAGGCACGAGCTGCAGCCTCTCCTGACATAGTGCAAAGAAATTAGGAATTTTATTGACCCAACTAAAAGTTGCCCTCACCTCCTTTACAATACTCCCATTTTCTCTTAGAATTTGTCTGTAAATCCAAGTTCCTGGATTGCTACTACTCATCCAAGATATTACCAATTTTAAATCACCCTTCACCTCCACATCATGAGACCCAAGTTGTTTAGCTATCATCATTGCTTATAACAGTGCTATCACTTTAGCTTTTAAAGAGTCCCCAACTCCTATCAGACCTGAGTACAATGCCATCACTTTTCCCTTGCATTACTAAACACACAGCCAGTATCTGAGGGGCCTGGGTTGCCTAGTGGGCTTCTGTCAAAGTTAATCTTCACTCTATTAGTTAAAGGTGGCTTCCATTGGACCATTGCATTGATATTTTGTGTTTTATTGTGGAAGAGTTTTAAATTTCTTTACAAGCCCTTGTTAAGTCAACCATTGATACTACCTTGAAAGCTTCCATTGTTTTTACCCAATGAGCAGCAACATTTATTTTTATGCTGTCAGCTGTCCACAATATATATGCATATACATACATATATATATATGTCCACAATATATACATACATATATATATATATATATATGTATGTATGTCTATAAATCATGAGAAGAATATAGGGGCATCTAAACACTGGGTCATGCTACCTGTTTATGTCATATAGATGGATAATAAAACGGTCAATGGCTATTTGTATTTTCTAGATGATAAATAGCCTTGTGGGTCTCAGTCCATGGCCCTATAACTTGTTGTGTATTGGGTCCTTCCTCTATGAACCATAATAACTGAATTTTGAATTTTAAGTAGAAGATAAACCAATGGATCTTTTTTTTTTTGTTCCACCATGTGGCACTACTCTTTGTGGATGAACTTTCCATGTGAGGTAGGGGCAAGAAACCTCTTGGACCACTTCTGAAGCTGCTATATATAAGCCTAACTACTAGGTCACTAAAAATCCCTGCCTAGATGCCAGAGGAAAAAATATCCCTGTCCAGATGTGCTGACTAGAATATTCTTGTTGCTTAAGCCACTTAGTGTTTTAAAAGCGCAAGGCGCAAGGGCCATTTTGCGCTTGAGGCGCAAGGCACAAGGCGAGGCGCGCGCCTTTTTGAGGCAAGGCACACAATTAAAAAAAATGCAAAAAATTCTAAAAATAATATTAATTAAAATATTAACTTAAGTTTTAAAAAACCTATTATCTAAAATTAAAATACATAAATATAATATGTAAAGCATATTCAAATGAGAATTTAAAAATGAAATCAAACATATAAAACATTTTTCAAGCATATAAAACCCACAATCTCTTTTTTTTCTCAATTGCATCAAGTAGCTAATGTGATATATTACATTCCTAATTCTGCGAGCCGCCTTTGTGCCACGCCCCTCAAGGCAAGCCCAAGCAAGTCCATGTTAGGGTCTTAAGTTCTTAGATTTCATACAAAAAATTATAATTTTATAGTTTAAATTGCTTTTAAAAGATATTTTATTAAGATGAATGAATGGACAACATTACCAAATAGGGGGTTCTTGAACCTTGTTTGGGCTGGCCTTGAGGGGCGTGGCACTGGGGTCCGGGTCGCCCCTGGCCCAGCTGCCAGACTCAAAAAAAGGGAAAAAGTGGCAAATTTTCAAAAGGCGCAAGGCTCACCAGGCGCACACCTAGGCGCACCAAGCGTGCACCTTTTGAATGGGCTGCGCCTAGGACCTGGGCGAGGCGCCTACCCTAAAATGCGCCTTGCCTGAGCGCTTAGGTGTGCCTTTTAGATCACTGAAGCCACTCTGTGTGGGCAAGCCAACAATCTGTGAAACAGTGCATGGCATAAGACTATGTTCATGATGATGTGGTTAGTAGTTACTTATAGAGAGTGACACAATAATGCTACTGTTGATAGTTAAATTGATATTTAATACTTAAGTTGATTTTAAGAAGTGCATAAATATAAATTGGTCTGCACAATTGATTCTAAATTAGAACTTGGAATACTGGCATTTGGCTACCTATGTTTGCATGCACATCATTGCTAATTTGGTCTTATATCCTTTTGCATTTTGTTCTTTCTTTTTAAGATAATTTTCTTGCTTTAACAGTGCAGAGACTTGATATCTTGGGTCAACTAGGAAAGACTCCAAACTTTATGATGGCACCTCCAAAGGAACACCTAGTTGAAAAGGCAAGTGATAACTTATTTATCTTTTTATGCCATTTTATTTTATTTTGTGGATTTATTTAAGAAATGAACATGGTCAAATTGCGTTTACAATGTAGTCTCTTAATGAGAATGCCGCGTTCAACCTATCCTCTCTAGGGTGTGCTGGATGAATGAGATGCTGAATGGAAAACAAGTTGTAGAATGTGCCTTTGATGGTTTCAACCATAACTCCTCTCCTTAGTGGAGTTAATTGTTAATTCTCAAAGGATTTGACTATACAGCTCAAGCTCTATAATTTTAATGCCTTGTTCAGTTTTATCTTCTGCTTTTACCTATGGCTATGATTAAAATGCAAGTTCATTTATATGACCATTTAAATGCATCTGGTATAATACAATTATTTGGGTGTCTTATTCTGTTGAAGCGTTTCTCTTGCAGTATTTCCACCCAGATAACATGTCATCTGCAGAGAAGATGAAATTAGAACTTAAAAGAGTTAGGGATGAGTTTAAAATGTCAGAATCAGATTGTGGATCTGCACGTGTTCAAGGTAAGAATATTTATCCTCTGCCACTCTGTAATTTGCGTTCTTGTGGAGTTGCTTATCTGTTATCTTTTTAGTGCATGGGGTTCCATATTATCTGCCATTCTGTAATTATATAACACTCATATTATTGCACACAAGTTCTTAAATCTTGCATTTAATTCCATGTAAACTGGCCACTAAAGATATGCATGCGTTTTTTTTTTTCCCATCTTCTCTCAATGCTTGATTTTGTAGTTTTTTTTTTTGATAAATAATGCTTGATTTTGTAGTTAAGATAATTGAGTTTGTAATTTTCAATCTCATGTAACCTAAGACAACAAAAATGGAGGATATTTAAGGGATCCAAATCATCCAATATTTATCAATAAAGTCATGGCAAAGCAAGCCCAAATATTTGCAAGCTCTGTATGGCACAGAAGAAAGCATACCATATATAATGTTTATTTGTTTATTTTGAAATGGTAGAGTAACAAGACATTATATAATGTTTATTTATTTACTTATTTCTGATTGATCACAAACCTGAGGTATGTATTTGAAAATAAATGATAGTCAGCTCTAGGGTTTATAAGCTCAGTAATTTGGACTAGCCTCTAAAGGATTGTCATGAACTCAATCTAGAATATGGTAGGGGATAGAAATTGGTGGATTTCATTTAGAGGTTTGATTTTTCTTTGAAGAGGCTAAGACTTAATTATGATGTATTTATTGATGATGAATCAATGCTCAAATCTTCAATTTTTGGTAAATGGGTTAGTCAATTTAAGTGCTTGTATCAATGCTTCTAATGCTGGCACATGAAGAAGGAATGAAACCATGGAATAAGAAGTCAAATTTCTGTGGTAGTGGCTATTTCATAATTTTTGGTCAGATTGAGTTTTTTAAAAGTTTACTTTCTAGTTTATTGGTGTCACAGGAATAAAGCTAATTGTTTTAAAGGTTGAACTAGTATATGACTTCTATTGGAGAGTGCTTAGAAATTCAAAAAGTGGAAGTTGTAATCACACTACTTCTATTTTAGCATATTGTTCAAGGGTCAAGGCTTGTTCCTTTTGCAGGATTTTGCTGTCATTAGATAGGTTATTGAGTTATCTATCTAATGAGACCAAGAACTTAAATCTGACCTGTTTCAGGGGGTTATGATCATTTTTATTGATAGAATGTTCATCTGTGATAGGAGTTGAGTCTTTCCATTTTCTTAGTCTATCTTAGAGTTCTTTTTTTTTTCTATTTTTTTGTTTGTTTAGTTTTGGAATGGACAATAGTGGTTATCTATAGTATTTATCAAAAAAAAAAAAATAGTGGTTATCTATAGTTATTTTTGGGGGGTAGTCTATATTTGAGATTTTGAGTGACCCTATGAGAGTAGGAATCAGTGAAAGGATTATTGACAAGCAGTGATACCAAGACATTTGAAATTAAAGAGTCTATCTCTGGTGACACTTGGCACCTACCATAGCACTGTGTAGCATCTCACTGATGCTCCATGCTCAAATCGGCACAAAAACTTGGCATTTATCACTCATAAACCCTGCGATAACTTTTTGGATGTTGTAATGTGCTGGGCACCTGAGCCTTTGGCAACTTGGCACCTAAATAGTTATCAGAAAGAAGGTAGTTGGCACCCCTGCCGCATTGCCAAGCTAACATTGTTAACAAGATTCAGGTCATGTTTTCTGATTTTTCATTTTTTCTTGTTGAACCATAAAGGGCATTTGTATTAATTCATCAACAAGTATGTGCGTATATGATTTATCAAAAAAAAGTATGTGTATATGCAATGTGCCCTTAAACAGGAAGTTGGTATAGAGTGGGAATGTGGGATCCAAGAATAAACCTACCCATGCAAAATAATATTTCATCTATGATGTAAGGTACACATGAGAATCATTCGGATGTTTATGCAGTATGCCATGGTATTCTGTGGCACATGTAGGTTGTCTTTATGATCTTTAAACACATTGTGATTAGCAACTTGTGATGAAGCTGAGCCATTTTCGCTTGTTTAAGCATTTGGATTAGCAGCTTCAATGGGATTCGGGGACTTGGTTATTTAGGGGGATTTCTCACTTTGTAGCACAGGGAATGGTGAAGTATTAAGTGGCCTTTGGAGGGTAAAGTCTCTAGATAAGATAAGCACAGACATAGGTTTCTAGATAAGATATAATAAGATCCTCTCATTGTGGAGCATGGGCCACCCTCATCCTATGTTCCTTTTTTTTATGATTTTAGGTATTTCTGCATACTCTACTTGATATTAGGTTTTTTTACAGTTGCAGAATTATGTTTTGGCTTAATGTAGTTAGTGTGAATGGTAACATTTCTCAGAATTCATCATTGCTTCCATGAGTCTTTGGATGCCCCATCTGATAAAAGACTTGTATAGATTTTATAGGTTCAATTGTGCTGCAAACTGTATAAGAAATTATGATGTTTTTTGTGGGTTTGTTTGCATTATTTTTCCCAACTAATGGCTTGTCTCTTGTTTTGCAGTGGCACAACTAACAACAAAAATCAAGCATCTAGCATCTGTATTACGTAAAAAGGTTTGACTATCTTATAGATTTTCCAATGCTGTCTTCTTTTGGTATATGGATATGGAATTATTTTTATTCACTATATCTAGCTTTTTTTTTGGTAAATTTCACTATATCTAGCTAGAAAACATGTTTAGCAGAGAAAAATAAAAGTGAACCAGAATTTCAGGAAAATTTACAGAAACACAGAAAAACTGATCCACACACACACACACACAAGGATAATTCAGAAAAAGAAAACAGGGATATTTCATAAGCAATTGATGAAAACGCATTATTATTAGAATTCCTAACAAGGAGTTTTATTGTTAAGCTTCCATTTCTTTTTTATTGAATATGATACAGCTTATCATGACTATATAGTAATAGATTTGGTGAAAACTTTGACTGTGTTCAGCCCTTCATGATGGATGACATTGCTTGGGGATGGCAGATGGTGGGTGCTTGGGTGGTGCCATCCTCATCAACAGGTGGAAGGAGGGTTATACAT